AGGATCGCCCCTTTCCACTCTCCACACTCTGTGGCTCCCACGTTTCCCCCATACCCAGCTCTGCCGAGGGTTCCACAAAACTGGTGTCCCCCTCAGACCCTGCTGGCTCCTGGTGGGCTCTTGGCTGCTCCCACCTGCTGTGGGGGAAACGGGAAGGGGAAAGGAGGGAAAAGTGATGGGTGGAGATAAAAATCTGGGGGTTACGGTCACCCTGTGTAGGAGCTTCCAATCCTTTGGTCTGGAGATCTTGAAATGGGGGAATGCAGAGATGGATGGGGGATCCCCAGGTTGCCCTCCAGGACAGCAACACCACACACTGAAGCCAAGACTCCAATTGCACCATACATTGTTTTTTCCATTGAATTCCTTGATTAGAGCAACAGTCACCCACAAACCTCCCTGACTGCTCAGGGCCTGCCTGTGCTGCCCTGATCCAACCTTCAGAGAAAGAAAAGATCAGGTTCCAGCCCTATTCTCAGCACTGTTTTACTCCTGGTGAGGTGACAGCAGGAGGGTTTTATTGTCTTTGCCTTGGGAATTGTAGATCATGGCTACTGCTGCCCCTCTTCTGGCTGTGACCTGAATTTTATCAGTACAACTACTGCAATTGCCTCTTTCAATCAGTGCTACCCATGGTGCTTTCACGATGGGGAATTCAGTATTTTTGTAACAGGACTCATAATTAGCAGATTTTTAAATGCTCACAAGTGCCTGAGCACTAAGATGAGGACAATTAAAGCCACACAGGCCACATTCACAGTGCTCACATTCACAATCCTGTTACTGGTGCTGTAGAAATAGAATCAATTTATAGAGGCCATCACAGAAATTGCCCTGGGGTGTCAAATAAAATAAAAAAATTCACTAGGAGGAAGAAAAAACCAGAACTTATTGACCAATTTAACTGCTTCTTTTGAGCAGCAGAAAATGGAGATGACACCAAGCTGGGTGTGGGTGTGGATCTGTCGGAGGGTAGGAGGGCTCTGCAGAGAGACCTGGACAGGCTGGATCCAAGCCATGAATCCAACAAGGTGAGGTTTACCAAGTTAAAATTCTGTGTCCTGCACTTTGGCCACAGCAACCCCTGCAGCGCTACAGGCTGGGGACAGAGGGGCTGGACAGCGGCCAGGCAGAAAGGGACCTGCAGGGACTGATGGACAGCAGGCTGGACATGAGCCAGAGTGTGCCCAGGTGGCCAAGAAGGCCAATGGATCAGGGCTGGATCAGGAATGGTGTGGCCAGCAGCAGCAGGGCAGTGATTCTTCCCCTGCACTCAGCACCTTGAGTGTTGCGTCCAGTCCTGAGCCCCCAGTTTAGGAAGGATCTTGAGATACTGGAACATGTCCAGAGAAGGGCAGCAAGGCTGGTGAAGGGTCTGGAACACAAGTCCTGTGAGGAGCGGCTGAGGGAGTTGGGGGTGTTTATCCTGGAAAAGAGGAGGCTCAGGGCAGACTCATCACTATCTGCAAGTCCCTGACAGGAGGGGGCAGCCAGGTGGGGTTGGGCTCTGCTCCTAGGGAACAGTGACAGGACAGGAGAACACCTCCTGGAGTTGCACTGGGTAGGTTCAGGCTGGACATTAGGAAGTTCTTCATAGAAAGTGTGATTGGAAATTGGGAGGTGGTAGAGTCACTGTCCCTGGAGCTGGATGCCAGCACTCAGTGCCATGGTCAGGGTGACAGGGTGGTGTTGGGTCATAGGCTGGGCTTGATCTCAGGAGTCTTTTCCAACCTGGTTAATTGTGATTCTGTGATCCCAGCCTGCGTGGCCCCAGTTTTGGGGAAAACACCCCTCCAATTCCTATAAACACCCCCAAATCCTCCCAAGCCCTACATTTTCTCCCCAAATGAGAGTAAAATCAATGGGTTTAGAGGTCTTTGTTCAATTTCTTTATTTTTATGACAATTTTATGTGTTTGTAGGGGATAAAAATGGATGAAATAAAATCAAGCTCAAAAAAAAAAAAAAGGAGTTACTTGTCAGCATCATGAGAGTATCTGTAGGGTTGGGTTCAGTGGAGGGAAAAGCCTTTGTTGGAGGGGTTTCCACCCCAAATCTTGGTCTTTGCCCCAATCCATCACCATTTGCCTTTGGAAGACACCTGTGGGCCATAAAGAATCAGAATAATGAAACCACTGAGGCTGGAAAATACCTCCAAGACCATCCAATGTTGCTTGATACCACAGGAAAAAAGGATTGGATGGAAGAACTGAGACTTTTAGGGTTGAAAGTCAACAAATCCACTCTTCCCAATGAATTCCTGATATCATTCTGAGTCCTGATGGATGTCCCAGCCCCTTCCTTCACCCAGGTGCCCAGAGGGAATCAGGAGGATGTGGAGACCACCAGACATGTGTCTTCTCAAAAGAGTTCACCCAGAATAGGGGTCACCAGGGCTCTGCCCAACAGGGATCACTGGGGATCATCCACCGCAAACCCTCCCATGGGGAATGGAGTTGGAGCAGCGCATGAAGCTCTTCCTTCACTTGCAGCACTTGCAGGGTTTCCCTTACAGGTGGGTCCATTTGTGTGAAGTCGAGGCAGAACTCTGATAGAAGCCGTTCCCACATTCGGGACGCTCGTAGGGCCTCTCCCCGGTGTGGATGCGCCAGTGGATGGTGAGGGTGGAGTTGTGCTTGAAGCCATTCCTGCAGTCAGGGCAGTGGAAGGGCCTCTATTCCATGTGCGTTTGCTGATGCATGAGGAGATTTTACCTGGTCTGAAACCCCTTCCCACATCTGGGACACTTGTAGGGCCATTCCTCACTGTGGGTCTTCCAGTGGCCGATCAGGCTGGATCTGTGGCAGAAGCTCTTCCCACGCTTGAAGCACTTATAGGGCTGTTCCCTGGAGTGTATCTTCTGGTGCTGGACTAGGTCTGAGCTCAGGTTGAAGCTCTTCCCACATTCCCCAGACTCTAGGGCCATTCCCCTGTGTGCTGGCACACGTGGGGGGTGAGCTAGGAGCTGCAGTTGAAGGTCTTCCCACATTCCAAGCACTTGTAGGGCCATTCCCCCATGTGGACTTGGTGGTGGATGAAGAGGTGGGAGGTGTGGCTGAAGCTCTTCCCACATTCCAAGCACATGTAGGGCTTCTCCTTGTCATGAAGCTGCTCATGGACCACCACAGTGGATTTCTGGATGAAGCAGTGGGGAGATCTTTGCTCCTTAGAGCACCCTGGGCTGGGTATGGAGCCCCTCCTTGTGGGGCATCCCTTTGGCATTTCCTCCCTGTTGGATTCATGCCCTTGGAGCTGCTCAGAATGGCCTCTTACAAGGTTCTGCTGTGGAGATTTGTCCACCCTGGTCCCTGTCTGCAGCTCAGTGCCGGGGGCATGAAGGATAAAGGGAGGAAGAAGGAAAAGGAAAAGGCAGAAGGAACAAGAACAAAAAAGGGAGAAAGAAGATGAAGGAAGAAGGAAAATGAAGAGGAAGGAAGGAAGGGAGGGAGGGAGGGAGGGAGGGAGGGAGGGAGGGAGGGAGGGAGGGAGGGAGGGAGGGAGGGGGGGAGGGGGGGAGGAAGGGGGGGAGGGAGGGAGGGAGGGAGGGAGGGAGGGAGGGAGGGAGGGAGGGAGGGAGGAAGGGAGGGAGGAAGGGAGGAAGGGAGGAAGGGAGGAAGGGAGGAAGGGAGGAAGGAAGGAAGGAAGGAAGGAAGGAAGGAAGGAAGGAAGGAAGGAAGGAAGGAAGGAAGGAAGGAAGGAAGGAAGGAAGGAAGGAAGGAAGGAAGGAAGGAAGGAAGGAAGGAAGGAAGGAAGGAAGGAAGGAAGGAAGGAAGGAAGGAAGGAAGGAAGGAAGGAAGGAAGGAAGGAAGGAAGGAAGGAAGGAAGGAAGGAAGGAAGGAAGGAAGGAAGGAAGGAAGGAAGGAAGGAAGGAAGGAAGGAAGGAAGGAAGGAAGGAAGGAAAAGGAAGAAGAAAGCAAAAGGAGCAAGGAGAGGAAAGACAAGGAGAAGATGCGATTTGCCTCCATGCCAGAGGGAAGGGGAAGGAGATCCCCCCCAGTCCATCCCTGGAAGAATGGCATTGGCAGAGGGGTTGTCCTACAGCTGGGGGCCATATTGGGCTGGGAGATGGAGCAGGAGAGAGGGGGAAAGGGGCAGTGACTTCCTCTTCAGCTGCCTGGGTGTCTGGAGCATCTTCCTCACTGCCTCCTCCTCCTCCATTTGGCCAAGCCTTGGGAATAAGAAGTCTGGTTTTGAAGGAAAAACAAGGGGTGAGCACATTGGCCTGGGGGTTCCTCCTGCCTGAGTCCATCTCTAGAAGATATCTTGTGTCCACAAAAACCTCCAAAACATCAAGCTTCAGAGGAAAAAATCCCTGCCTGGGGTTTCCACTTGTGGATGCTGCGGGTCCTGCCTATGTGCCAGAGGAGGTTCCTCCTCTGCAGAATCTCTGCCTGCTCCAGGTTTCCCAGGGATCCCCCCATGCGGGGGTTCTGGGAGTCCCCTTTCTCTGGGCTGATGAGCGTCCCATGGGTGCACCCCTTTCTGGGGTTGCACTAAGGGATGCCGAGGGTTTTGGGGTCCCAGGGGTCCCTCCTCTGACTCTCTGCTCCAATGTGCTGGGAGTCTAGGGGGTTCCCTCTCTCTGGGGTTCCCACTTTGGTGTCCCAGGGTGTCCCCCCCACTCCAGGCTCATCCCTTCTCTGGGCTGCTCCTTCTTCAGGCTCCCTTCACTCCCGCCTGTCGGGGTCCCCCCTCTCCAGGCCCCCATTTCAGGGTCAGGGACTCCACTTTCCGCTGCTGGTACCCCCCACCCACCCAGCAGCCGCACCGGGACATCCCCCCCAAAAAAAACCACGTCCCAGGATCCCCGCAGTATCCACCCAAAGGGGATTTCGTGTCAGCTTTGGACTCCTACAAGATCCAAACATCGCTCCGCCCGCCCCGTCCCGAAAGGAAAGAAACAGAAACCCCCAAAAGATACTCCGGGTGAGCTCCAAATATCCCTCCCTCCTTAAAAAAAATCCCTGCCGGGACCGCCCAAGATATTCGGAGTGAGGTCCCCCTCCCTGTCCCCTGCGGGATGCGGGCGCTGATGCTCCCGGAGCGAAGGGGCTGCAGATCCAGCGATCGAAGGATGCACTGGTGCCTCCTCCGGCTGCTCCTCCTCCTGCCCCTGCTCCTCCTCCATCCCTCCTCTTCCTCCCGCTCCTCCTCCTCCTCCTCCTCCTCCTCCTCCATCCCTCGGCTGCCGGCGAGGAGCTCTCGGGTGAGCGGGGCTTGGACGGGATCCGTGGAAAGGGGTGGGAGAAGGGGATGGGGGAGGTGGGACGGGGGGAAGGGGTTCTCAGTGAGGGCTCCCAGTTAACTTCAGGACCCCAATTTCCCTCCCTGTACTCCCAGCCCCTCCCGGTGCTGTGGGGCCGTGCCCCGGTGCCGGCTCAGGGGGGCTCCAGGCTGACCTGTTCCAGGTAGATGGGAGCTGCAGGTGAGCCCAGGCTGGGGGGGTTCCAGCAGCACCAGGAGCTGGTGGGTCCAGTCCCCGCTGGACCACGTCGGTGGCCACCACAGAGAGCTCCTGCTGGCTCTGGAACCACCTCAGCTGGGCGTGGGCAGGGTAGAAATCCATAATGGGGCAGAGCAAGTGGCCAGGATTGGGCTGGGAGCTCGAGGGCAGCAGCGAGATGGACTCGCTGGGGTGGGCAGAGGGCTTGGGGGCTCCCACCAGTGCGAATCTGCGACGACCCCCACCCCAAGCCACAGGAAATTGCTCAATGGAACGAGTGCTGCTAGACAGGGAACCACCCTTCTTCAATCCCAGCCGCACCTTTCCCTCTCCTCTCCCCCCCTTTCTTGTTCCCCAAATCTACAGACCCCTTCCAACACAACTTGGAACTTTCCAGCCCCCTGCCCCACTCTTTGGAGGTCCCAGCCCCCTCTATTCCCCCATTCTCTTGCCCCTTCCCAACCATCCTGTAAATCCCCAACCCCCTCTTCCGTGCTTGGGTTTGGGGGTTCCAGGCCACTGCTGCTCAGTCACACCTCCTCTTTCTCTCAGTTCAGATCCCTCCTGGCTGCTTTTTCCTGGGAGGAATCCCTGAGCTTTGGGACTTTTGGGATGCAGTTTTGGAGGGGGACAGCTCTGTCCAGCTTTCCCCTCCCCGTTGTGGCCCCTCAGCTGCCCCTGACACCCTGGTGGTGCTGGGATTTCCCTCCTGGGGACAAGGATGTTCATCCCCTTCCAGGAGCCCAATGCCCGGCTGGGGCTCCAGGTCAGGGGTCCTTGAGCAGCTGCCCCAGAACCTCCACCAGGATCTCCCAGCGCAGCCGGAGCCGCTCGGCCCTGGCTCCCCAAAGGCCTCAGCAAGGCCCAAGTCCCTCCCAGGAACCCTCAACTCCCTCAAACCCAGCATCCCCCACATCCCCTGCCAAGTTCCCCCCATGGCACCGGCCATGTCCATGTCCCCACATGTCACTGGCCATGTCCCACCATGTCCTCACCCATGGCTGTCTCCCCACCATGTTTCCATCCCTGTCATTGTCCCCCATGTCTCCATCCATGCCCATGTCCCTTGGTAAAAAGATGAGAGTTGCTGTAGCACATAAGAGGAGAAGCAGCATTCATTTAACCCCTGGTCTGCCAGGGAAACACAAAACCGTGTCCCATTCCCATCCTTTCCAAGTTTGGCCGGAACATTCGCTGCTTTCTTGTTTCCTTGGTTATCTGTTTCACCACTTTTCCTTTATAATCTCTTTGCAGGCAACAGTTTCAGCCATTTAATTTTCCACAAACTCCTCCTTTTTCTGCTAGAAGATAATCTGGTCCCATCCCCTGGTGAAATGTTGTGTTCCTCATTTCTGTGGCTTAGTCGGCAGGAAGGTGAGGAGCTGGATTTGTCTGGTTGGTTCTTATTTGGAGGACAGCTTGTAATCTAATGATGCCATTGAAATGATGAATGGGTTCTCTGTCTCCTGATATGAGTTCCTTAGGGTCCCCAGGGGCTGGTCCGTGGTGTTGTAGGATTTTTTCTGGTGGTCATTCATCTTTTCCCCATTTCTGGGTGCTGCCTCCAGCCAGGGCTGCATCAATTGACTGCTTTTCTCTAATTAAAGCATCAAATGCTTGGATTCCAACTGATTTCCCTGAACTTTTGGTAGCAAAACAACTCCAGTGCTCTGATACACCCTGTATAACATAGACAGTGACAGCACATGTTGGAGTGGGCAGAGGGATTCTTTATTCGCTGTTTCTCTTTGCAGCTTTAACAACTTTCTGTTGCAGACTCAGATATGCTCACCATGGGCTCTGCCTTTATCTATACAAATTCCATCATTGGAAGCAGGCAGAGCTTGGGGTGAGGGGCAGAGGGAATCAGCCCAATTCCTGCCTCTGGCAAGAGACATTGTTCCCACTCTGCCCCAGCAGTTTGATTTGCATTTCTAAAGCTCCTCTGCTGGCTGCCTGGAAGGAATCTTCTCTTCCAGGGAAGCCATTCTGTGGCCAAAAGGGACTTTAATAATACAATATTAACTGTTTACCAGTTTAAAGGTCACCTTTAAAGCTCTTCTGGTTTTTAAAAATGAAGGCTAAAGGTGAATATCGAAAACCTGTACCAAAATTTCGCCATCACTAACAGCTATGCACACACATATACAAAAAAATCCAAAGCAATAAAGATTTTTTCTACTTCTCCTACATCTAAAAACTGACTCACACCGCTGGCCCAACACCCGTAGTCTTAACTGGCACTATAAAAGTAGGATTATCAAGAAAAAAACATCCTAATAGTGTAATCTTGTCACCGAAACTGCAAGAAGAATCAAAATTCTTCAACAACATTTTTAGTGTTAGAGAGTCAAGGCATTACATGATTCTGGTCAGGATCTGCAGCAGAAATAATTTCATCCACTCATAGCCCAAGCTGTGCAGAGAAAATCATTCCATGACATGTGAGTTTCCCTAGATTTATCCTTTAACTTTTTACAGTCCAAAATCCTTTGAAATTGCTTCAAAGTTGCCGAGTGTTTTTAGTATTTGGTTTCCTATTAGACCCAGATTTCTTCACCTCTGATGTTAACTAGGCCCACATTCCTGGATTTCCTTCTCAGCCTTTTGCAGACCAGGTGTCTCCAGCCCTGCCGGGGGCAGTGTCTGGGGTAGGTGTTGGTTGCTGTTTGCTGCTGGGGTTGATGTTTTGCTGCTGGGGTTGATGTTTTGCTGCTGGGGTTGATGTTTTGCTGCCGGTCGTTATCTTTGTGGGTATCTTTTGGGCCATTCCCAGTGTGTTGAGGTGTTAAACTCATCTCCATTGAGGTTGTAACATCCCTTGAAAAAAACCTTTAAAATTTATTTCGCCAAGGCAAAGGAAAACAAGTCTAAGTAGAAAAATAAGATTTTTTTTTTAATTTGATCTTAGTATATTTTCCAGCAATGGAATCCCAGCCAGCGCAGTGTGTGAGTGTAAGTGAGAGCCAGAGTGGAATTGTCCCGTGCTCTTGCCCAGCAGCTGTGGCAGGGCAGGCCCAGAGAGCGCTGAAGCTGCAGCAGTGGCAGCAAGGGCTGTCCCCGGTGGCTGGAGCTGCCAAAGGAGGGTGGCCAGGCCGAGGATTTCAGCAGAGGATGTGTGGGCAGCCCCAGGGCCTTGCCCCGCTGTGGAGCCCTGGCTGCTGCTGCGCTGCCTTCAGTGCAGCTCAGTGGGGGCCTCCCATCCTCCTGCTGCAGGCGGGAAGTGCAAATCTCCGGGGCTGCAGAGACCTGGAGCCGAGGCTGAGGGGTCCCCCCGTGCTCAGCTGTGCTGGCGGCTGTTTCTGGCCTCGGGGCCACTTGGCCACCAGTGGTGCTGCTCTGCACTCCTTAGGCAGGAGCCGATGTCCTGCTTGGATGTTGGCAACAGCAAAGTGCCAAGGTGGGAGTGTCTCATCAATCTCCCCCAGGCTGGGTCTGGAGCTGTGTCACTTGAATGCAGTGCTGGGTTTCTTCCCAGCCCCTCTGGGGGCTGTTCAAACAGGAGGCTGGGTTAAACCCTTCCCCTGTCCTCAGTTCTGAATCCTCCTGTGCCACTGAACAAGTTTCACACTGTAATAACCAAGCACTGCTCATCCATTGCGAGGCTCTTTTGGTTGTCAGAGCTTTAACTTGATGGCAGACTTGAACAACACGAGATGCTCCTGCTGTCAGTTTTCAGGCCTCAGTTCCCATGAAAGCTGTGGCTGTACAATTCTGCAGGCAATGAGGCCACTGTGGCCACTGGGTGAAACATTTTAGCAGAAGAATTCCTTTGGCATTGCCCTGTTCAATATCCACATACAATTCAAAATCTTTTTCCCTGTCTAGGAGAGCCGGGGCAGCAGCCTCAGTTAAACTTCATTTTAACACTTGAAAATTCTGGTTTCCTCCTGATGTCCAGCTATCCATTTTTTTTGACTGGCAGGTTAGGAATGTTGTAGGAAGACATCCCTGGCTCCAAAAGCCCTGCCTTTAGCAGGGACTCCATACCAGGCTGTGAGCCCTTCCTTCCCTCCCCTGGAACAGGGTGTTGCTTTTAGCCCCCACTTGTCCTGGTTGCTTCAAAGTAATTTGGAGAGGCTCCACATCAAATTTTCCCTCTTTCCCTGGGGCTGCCCACACCTCTGGGTTCCCTTTGGCACAGGCCTTGCCACTTATCTGACTCAAAGGTACAGCATTAGACTCTGGTTTACCTTTTAGAATTGATAATCACAATTAGGAGGAAGTAGAAATCCATGCATTTCAAATCTATCTCCCACATCTGTTAATAGTGGTTGAAGAATACACACCTGTTTATTTTTCCCACTTACATCCTGAATGATCAAACAACTTCTTGACAATTTTCCCCCCTTACGTCTGAGATTCAAAGGAGATTGAGAGGCCCCTGTGTCCATCAGGAGAGGCCTCCTCTGGATGCAGACCCAGCCTGGATGTTCTCCAGGGCTGCAGTGTGGTGGGTCCCCGGTGGGATGGGAGCTCAGAGAGCCCTGACAATCCATGTCCATGCAGGGTGGACTCGCTCCTCCTGAGGGTGCTGCTGTCTGTGCTTGCAGTGTCCTTGTGGGCTGCAGCTGGAGCCCTGACTCCTTCCCAGGGGCTGTTTGGGTGGGCTCTGCCCTGGCCAGGAGGGCAATGCCTCTGCCAGGTGCTTGTGGCCGACGCCGTCCCCTGGGTGCTGGGGCCCCCTTGGGCCCTGGGGTTGGTCCCTCAGGGGCTGTGGGAACTCTGCCATGGCCTTTGCCTTCAGCTTGGCCTTTTGCTCATCCCTCCTTGCCTTCAGCTGCTGTGCCTTTGTGCCCAAGTGCTGCAGGGCCTTCTTCTGCCACTCCTGCAGCCCCGGTCACTGCCTGTGGGTGCTCATCCTCTGAGAGCTGCTGAGCTTTCTGCAAAATCTTTCCTTTCTGCAGGGACCCAAGCCAAATCCTTCACAGAAAATCCTGATCCATCCATGTGCACTCTGCATTTCCCAGATGTTCCTTTGTTTTGCTCCTTGTGCTCAGGGTCCCCTGCACAGCCCGTGTGGCAGAGCCGGTGCCTGTCCTGCCGCAGTGTCCAAAGGCGGCCCCCCCGGCGGGCAGGGCCGGCAGCTCCCCGGGGCCGGGCAGCGGCCGGGGCGTCCCGCAGCCTCCTGGGGGCCGGGGGCCACTGCCGGCCCTGCCCGGGGCTGGTGGGCTCAGGCAGCGCCCGGCGCTGAGCCCCGGCTGCCCCACAGCCCCGGCCCGGCCCCGCAGCTCCCCACAGGCCCCCAGCCCTGCTCCCGGTCCCGCACCTCTGCGCCCGCTGCTGCCGCTGCCCGCCACAGAGAAACCCCTGACATCCTGACCTCCTGCTTTTCCTCTCCTGGAAACCAGGCCTAGAGAGGACCTGCATCTGGCCTATTTTAAGTATAAGATGGAGGAAGGTGCTGTAAAAAATCCCAATCCTTAGTATTTTTATCCTCCTTCTCTTTTCCTTTTTTTTTTTCTTCTCATACAGATTCCTCCTGCCGCTTCTTGCCTGAACCATATTGCTGCACACTCCCCTTCACCCAATCCCTTCCCAGCACACCAACACCATCCATCCCCTGGTCTCGAAATCCCTTCTCCACTTCCCTTCTTGCCTCCCTGGGTGTCCATATCCTTAATTATCTCTGGGGGAATGTGCAAACTACCTCAGCATTCTCCCCTTTTGTCAAAAATACTATATTCATGTCTCTGTTAAATCTTTGTTCTTCACAAAGTTCACGAATTTAGCTGGACTTCAGCTGAACAGCAGTTCCTGTTGATTAATAACATTTTCCGAAACAGAGGGTTTCTCCTGTCACTTCCTTATCTACAAGCTCCTTGCCCTATCTCGGAGGATATTCACACCACCTGTTTGTACAGACACTTCCATCTTACTTCTTTCAACATGACAGGAAAGAGGGGAGAAGCCATAAAAAGGCATTTAGGACACCTGGATGGACTGAGAGGGGGCTGGGTCACCCCCAAATTGAGCCGGAGGGGAGCTGGCATTTAGAGGGAATGATGGAAAAGGGGTGGGAGAGGTGGATAACAGGAGGAGGGACAACAGGAAAGAGGTTCTCATAGTGGTCCCTTTGTGTCCCCATCATTCAATCCCTGGAGCAATTCCCCAGGGCTGTGGGAAGGGATGGATCCGCACGGGGGGGATCCCCAAACGACCTTGTGGGGGCTTCTGGGGCTGTTCCCCCCACCCAGCAGCTGGTGCTGTGGCAGCCATGGGGCAGAAGGGGGTGGGAAAGGGGCATCCAGTGTGGTCAGGGAGGAGGAGGAGGAGCAGGAAGAGGAGCAAAAGGAGAAGCACAAGTTTCCATCCTGCTGGTGTAGCAGGGAGTCTTCCAGAGGAGTTCTTCTAGGGAGAATGTTTGGAGTTTTCAGATTCCAGAATAGAGACCCAAATACCTTTGTGGTCCTTGGGAGGGTTTGGTTTTTGGATCTTGCAGGACCCCAAAGCTGAGTCTCAAATTACCCTTTGGGGGATATTTGGGGGTCCTCATGGCAATCACCAGGTACTGGTGGGGGGAGGACATCAGTCTTGGGGACTCCTCCAGAAGAGCAGTGGAGTGGAACCTCTAGACCCCTGGAATGGGAAAAGGTCAGAGGAGTGATTCCAGAATTGTGTGAGACCTGGCAGCCTGAAGTGGGAAAGGAAGAGCCTGGAGTGTGGGAACCCCTGGAATCCTGGAGCAGAGAGTCAGGGACCACTGGGAAAACCCATGTAAGCAAACCCATGTAACATCTGTAAGCAAAACCCCCATGGTCATCTGTAAGCAAGACCCCAGAGAGGGGGAGCCCCAGGAGCCACGGGACCCCTATCAGCTCAAGGAAGGGAAACGACCAAACCCCAGACTGGAGAGACAAGAGAGGTGGATCTCCTATGAGCGTTATTTTGGGAGCTGAATCTTGGTGCTTCACAGATTGTTTTTTTTGGACTCCTGAAGAATTCCAGTTATGTACTTCTGCAGGAGGAGCCCCCAGCCCAAGGCTCTCACCCCTTGTTTTTTCCCCAAACCAGGATTTGTCATTGCCAAGCCTTGGGTGGATGGAGGAAAAGCCCCAGAGGTTTCTCACAAGGAGGGTCTGCAAAGCCTGCCCAGGGAGCTGCGGGAAGGAAGGACATGCCCTGTGCCAGGAAAGCAGCCAGAGATCCAGCCAGAGCTCAGAGCTGGTGGAGAAGAAGCCTAAGGCTGGCGAGAAGCCCCACAAGTGCTTGGAATGTGGGAAGGGCTTCAGGTACAGCTCCCATCTGAGGGAGCACCAGGTGATCCACATGGGAGAAAAGCCCTACAAGTGTGGGGAATGTGGGAAGAGCTTCAGCAAGAACTCCAACCTCATCAGCCACAGCAGGATCCACACTGGGGAACAGCCCCACACCTGCTTGGAATGTGGGAAGAGCTTCAGGTGGAAGTCCAGCCTGAGGGAACACCAGATGCTGCACACCGGGGAGAGGCCCTTCGAGTGTCCCCAGTGTGGGAAGAGGTTTCTGAGGCCATCCCGTCTCCTCCTGCACCAGCGCATTCACACCGAGGAGAGGCCCCTCCGCTGCCCCGACTGCGGGAAGGGCTTCAGGCACAGCTCCAGGCTCCTCCTGAAGTGGCACCTCCGCACTGGGGAGAGGCCCTACGAGTGCTCCGAATGCAGGAAGAGCTTCGTGCGCTGCTCCAGCTCCACCCGCCAAGGAGAATCCACGTTGGATGATCCTCAGTAACCCCTGGGGAAGAGCCCTGATGATCCCTGCTCTGGGTGATCCCCGTTAGATGTGTGGAAGGTGTTGGAGGGATTTCTTTCCCTTCTCCTTGTCCTGTTATGATTTGGTTGGTAATAAATCCACTCCCTGTGCCCAGGCTGGGTCTATTATACCCATGCCAATGCTCAGGGCAGGACCTCTCCCATTCCTTCTCAGCTCCTGGGCTTTTCATTTATTTCCTCTCCCTGTGCAGTTGCAGAGGGCAGGGATGGAGCAGTTTTGGTGTCTACTTGCATCCAGGCAGACCAGCCCAGCCTCGGGAGTTCTGAGGACCATGTGGGGCTCCCCCATTGGCGGGACATCCCCCCGGAGCAGGGTGTCCCCCCTTGCTGCAGCCCCAGCCCTCAGGCAGAGCTCAGCCAAGCAGAGAACGCCCTCACCTGGGGCCTCATTTCTGGGCACACCTGAGTCCCTGAACACCTCCATCCCATTCTGGGGTGCATCTCAGTTCTTGGATATCTGGGACCCCATTTTTTGGGATGTATTTGGTTTGCACAGACTGGTTGTGGTAGTGGGGCGGGCTCTGAGATAAGCTGCTGGAAGCGTCCTCAGTGTCCAGCAGAGCCAATCCCTGGTGGTTCTGAAGATGGAGGTGCTGGATGCAGAGATCCCCAGAGTGCAGAGATCCCCCCCACAGCCCCTGGAGCAGCCCCCTGGCACAGGGGGATTCCTGAGAGGAGGCTGTGACCTCATGGGATCCCCCTGGAGCCAGCTGTCCTGGCAGGACTGACCCTGTGGCAGTGACCCCTGGGGCTGCAGCAGTGTGAGGGGGCTGCTGGCCGTGGGATGGATTCAGAGATCACAGCAGTGCCACCACAGTCCCTCCTAGTGTCCACAAACTCCCTCCCAGTCCTTCTCATTTCACTCTGAGACCTCCATCCTCTCTCCCAGTGCCCCCCATTCCATTGTTTGCTCTCAGTGCTCCCGCAGTCCTCGCAGTGCAACCCAGTCCCTCTCAACGCCACACCAGCCCTCTCCTGTCTCTCCCAGTGCCCTCCCTCGCTGATCCCAGCGTGTCCCCACTCTCTCCCAGTGCTCCCCAGTGTGTCCATCTCGCTGGAACCCTCGAGCTCCCAGCTTGGTCCCAGCTGCCTGCTCTGCTCCGTGGTGGTTTTCTACCCTGCCCAAATCCAGGTGAGGTGGTTCCAGGGCCAGCAGGAGCTCTCTGTGGTGGCCACTGACCTGGTCCCCAACGGGGACTGGACCCACCAGCTCCTGGTACTGCTGGAAACCCCAACCCGGGCTGGGCTCACCTGCAGCTGCCAGGTGGAGCACGTCAGCCTGGAGCACCCCCTGAGCACAGCCCGGCCCCCACAGCACTGGGGACAGGCGGGGAGGCACTGGGGGAACTGGGTTCTGCTGGTAGTAACTGAATATTTGAGATAGCCTGGCTTAAACTGGGAGAGGGGCTTAGGGGTGTGGAAGGGCTGAGAAGGAGGTTAAAGGATGTTGGGGAGAGTGGGATGGGGTTCTGGCGGTCCTGGTAAGAATTGGGAGGGAGTTTGGAGGTGCTGGGTGTAACTGGGAGGGATTTGAGTAAGCCTGGAGAGACTGGAATGAGATATGGGATGCAAAAGTGGGGGTTGGAATGAGGGTATTTATGCAGGGAAGGGACTGGGAGGGGTCTTGGTGAGTCCTTGTGGGGCTGGAAAGGGACTGGGAGAGGGTTTGGGGGTTTTGGGATGGAGACAGGCAACTGGGAGGGTGCTTGGAGGGGCTTGGGGTGTCTGTGAGAGGTTTTGGGGGGTCCTGATCCCTGCGGACCCCCCAGATACTCTGCCAGATGTCGCCCGCAGCAAGATGGTGACGGGCATCAGGGGTTCCGTGTTGGGCTTCGTCTTCCTGGCGCTGGGGCTCAGCTTCTACCTGCTCAAGAAGGCCAGGGGGGTCCCAGGGGTCATGTCCCCTCTCCCCCAGAGTGTGTGTGCTGCACCTGGGGCCCCCAGCCCGGTGTCACCCCCTTTTCTCTGCCCACAGAGCTCCTGAGCCACCACCGGCCACAGCCGCTGCCCGTGGCCTCGGGCCCGGCCGGGACCCCGGCTCCATCCCCACGCTGATTTTGGGGGGGGTCCCGTGTCCCCCCAGCCCTGCTGTCACTCTGCCCCTGCCCGCCTGCTCCCAGTGTTCCCAGTAACGCTTCCCAGTTAAACCCAGTTCAGGGAGGGCAGTGGGGAGGGACTTGGGGGCCCACGTGTGTCCCCCCACCCTGGGGGGTCTTGAGAGGCACCTGGACTCAAGCAGGGAACCAAGCGAACCCCAAAAGGCGCCGGGACTCTCACACAACCCGCCGGGGGAATTTGGGGATGAGACACGTGGGGTCACCCAGGCCGAGCCCAGAGCCCAGCGCTGCCCCATCCCGGCTCCATCCCGGCTCCATCCCTGCTCCATCCCGGCTCCATCCCGGCTCCATCCCTGCTCCATCCCTGCTCCATCCCTGCTCCATCCCGGCTCCATCCCCGCTCCATCCCGGCTCCATCCCCGCTCCATCCCGGCTCCATCCCCGCTCCATCCCTGCTCCATCCCCGCTCCATCCCGGCTCCATCCCGGCTCCATCCCTGCTCCATCCCTGCTCCATCCCTGCTCCATCCCAGCTCCATCCCCGCTCCATCCCTGCTCCATCCCGGCTCCATCCCTGCTCCATCCCTGCTCCATCCCCGCTCCATCCCGGCTCCATCCCTGCTCCATCCCGGCTCCATCCCTGCTCTATCCCGGCTCCATCCCGGCTCTATCCCGGCTCCATCCCGGCTCCATCCCGGCTCCATCCCGGCTCCATCCCGGCTCCATCCCTGCTCCATCCCGGCTCCATCCCTGCCCCATCCCGGCTCCATCCCGGCTCCATCCCTGCTCCATCCCAGCTCCATCCCTGCTCCATCCCTGCTCCATCCCTGCTCCATCCCGGCTCCATCCCTGCTCCATCCCTGCTCCATCCCGGCTCCATCCCGGCTCCATCCCGGCTCCATCCCTGCTCCATCCCGGCTCCATCCCAGCTCCATCCCGTGGGAATGGACGGCCTTGGGAAAAGGAGGGGCCAAGGGTGTGCGCTAGGCCCGGGGGATCAGAGGGAGGGATTGAGGAGGAGGAGGAGTGCAGAGGAAGGAGTGGGAGAAGGGCCGGAGAGAAGAAGAAAGGAAGGCAGGATTGGGAAGGAGGGGAGAGAAGAGGAAAGGAAGGCAGGATTGGGAAGGAGGGGAGAGAAGAGGAAAGGAAGGCAGGATTGGGAAGGAGGGGACGTGGCAGGAGTGATGGAAGAGGCGACGGGGTAGGAGGAGCGGGAGGAAGAGCAGGGAAAGAGGAAGAGTTGTAGGAGGAAGAAGAGCAGCAGGGGAAGTGTGGTCTCTGCCGTCTCTGTCCGAGCATCGCCCGGGCCCTTCCTCTGCGGCAGCTCAGCGGGCAGGGGGAGCTCCCCCAAACCTGTCAGGGGATCCCCGAGCAGGTTTTTCCTTGGCGGGTGTTTGGAGCTGGCAGCTTCCGGCTTCGAGTCCCTAATATCTTTAAGGGTCCCTGGGAGGGTTTCATTTTGGGGTTGGAGGGGTGTTCGAATCTTGCAGGACCCCAAATCTGAGCCACAAATGCTTTTTTGGGGGATGTTTTAGGGTGTGGTGACCGCCCAGTGCCAGGGTGGGAAGACGACATCAGCCTTGGGGCTCAGCCGGGAGAATGGTGGAGGAGAACGCCGGGAGCCCCGGGATGGGGTGAAGGGACAGAGGTGATCCCAGAGATGGAGAACCCCTGGCAGCCTGGAGAGGGGGAGAGCCTGGATAAGGGGGATCTCTGGGATCCCTGGCACACTGGACCAGAGAGTGAGAGGAGAAGGGACCTCTGGGACTCCCAAAACTCCCTGAATCATCTCTAAGCAGGACCCCAGAGAGGGGGAAACCCCAGGAGCCATAGGACCCCGATCAGGCCAGGGAAGGGAGACTCCCCAGAACAATCTCAGTGTGGAGAGATCAGAGACAAGGGAGCACTGGAACAGTTTTTTGGGCTGAATCGTGGTGATTTGAGGTATTTATGGACACAAAACCTGCGGAGACTTCCAGACCTGGATCTGAGCAGGAGGAACTCCCAACCTAATGAGCTCACCACTTGTTTTTTCCCCCAAACCAGGATTTGTTATTCCCAAGCCATGCCCAGATGGAGAAGGAGGAGAAGCTCCGGAGATCCCACACAAGGAGGGGCTGCAAACCCAGCCCAGGGAGCTGCAGGGAGGAAAGACCCACCCTGAGCCAGGAAGACATCCAGAGATCCAGATAGAGCTCAGAGGTGGTGGAGAAGGCTCATGGAGCAGAGAAGCCCCACGAGTGCTTGGACTGTGGGAAAGGTTTCAGTTACAGCTCTGACCTGATCCAACACCAAGTGATCTGCACTGGGGAACAGCCCTACGAGTGTGGGGAGTGTGGGGAGAGCTTCTTCAGCAGCTCCAACTTGACCAAACACCAACAGAGGCGCCACTAAAGGAAGCCGTGGAGTGCCCTGAGTGCAGGAAGAGTTTCGTGTGCTGCTCCAGCTCCATCCCCCATTGCAGGATCCACATTGGATGATCCTCAGTGATGCCCGTTGGGCAGAGCCCTGGTGATTCATGGTCCTGGTGATCCATGTTGGGAAGACATCTGGCTGGGGGTGCTCCACATCTTCCTGGCTCCCCATGGACACCTGGATGAATGCAGGGACAGGAGAATCCCTGCTGCTGCTCCTGTCACTGCTCCTCCTCTTCATCTCTCCCTCCTCGTCCTCCCTGTCCTTCTCCCCTGGCTCCTCCTCCATTACTCTCCTCCTGATTACCTTCTTTATCCCTCCTCCCCCCAGGCCCAATGCCCATCCTTGGTCCACCTTTTCGGTCGGGCTGGGGCAGTGCTAGACTCTATGCCCAGCCTGGGCACCACCCATGGGCCCCCTCCCTAAATTTCCCTGGTGGCTTCAGGGGGTTCCAGCACCTTCTGGGGTTCGCAGAGTGCCGTGCTTGGGTTCAAGTACCTCTCAAGGGTCCCCCAGAGTGGGGGGACACACTGGGGCCCCTATTCCCGATCCATCTCGGGGCCAGTTTCCCACTCCCCTCCCCAGTCTCAATGCCCCCACAGAGTCCCCCCGAGTCCCTCCCCAGTGCCCCCATAAACTGGGCTGGGTTTAACTGGGAAGTTTTACTGGGAA